AGTGTGTTGTGTGTGTGTGTGTGTGTGTGTGTGTGTGTGTGTGAGAGTGTAAGTGTAATATATTATATGCATATGATACAGTGTTAATGAATACATGTATTACTAATAAATGTGGCGTTTTGCCTTATTCCCCCTGAAAAGATCCTGTGCAGTACTTTAAGTACAACACTCGAACCCAACTATTTAGCTTAGCCCTTAGCTCCCTGGAACACAGAGAATCTGCCCTGCACCCCCTGGCAGCCCAAAGGGCAGGAATCGCCCCACGATGCCCCCAGCCTGGGCCCCGGGCCGGCACTCCGGGCAGCCGGCTCTGTAGCAGCACCAAGTTGAGCTGGCCTGGCCTGGCCACTGAATAGGAGTCGGTGCCGTGCCAGCCTGTTGACACCAGGCCCAGCCCCCAGGTCCCAGGATGTGGGTCGGGCATCGGGGACAGCTGGGAGTCTGCCAGCCTCTTGCTTATCCCCATCACTGGTGCGGCTAATTCCTGGGTCCCCACCTGCCTGGGTGAGCCGGGCGTCCAACAGGCCTGGGTCTGCCGAGGAGTCGCTCCTGCTTCCCCGGCCGAGCCCCCAGAACCAAGTCAGGATCCACCCCAGGGGACAGGGCAGCTGAGTTCTGCCCCACTGGATCCCTTAAAGCCCTTCGCTCTTTAACCCTTTAATACCCAGCCTTGGGGTCAATGGGATGTCCTCATCTCCCGTCTCCCAGGCTGTCCAAGGCTCTAGCCCCGCTCCTGGGGCCTGTCTACATTACCCCTTTTACCATGCTCTGGAGCAGACCTGAGCAACTTGTCCAAAGCCCACGTCTGCTGCTAGCTCCCGGCCTGGGGCTCAGAGCGCACCTCATCCTCCTGACAGACCGGGGAAGGAGCTCGCTCACCCTACAGCCCGGCGGCTCCTGCGCTGGGGGAAATTGTGCGACGTCGGCGATGGGAAAGACAAAATAAAGAAGATAGAGGAGCAAGAGCTGGGGAGGAGAGGCAGGAGTTGTCGCCCAGAGCCACGTGTGAGTGGCATGTGATGGGCACCTGCCTGGTCAGTGCAGATCACACTTCGCTCCCTCATGCGCCTGGAGCGGAGACAAAATCAAAACGGCTGCTGGTGCCATCTCAGAAACCAGCCGGGAGCTCAGGAAGCCCCCAAGGCGGGGCCAGGCCCAGGGCTGCGACAAGGAGCTAATGCAAATTAGCAAACACCCCCCCCCGCACCCCGCAGGAAATATGCCCCGGGGCCGGGAGGAGAGATTCCAGGGTTGGGGAGTTCGGACTCCGGGGAACCAAGGGGACGGATCCCCAGCCGGCCACACTCAGCCGAGCTCCACCGAGTCTGACCTGGCCCCATGGAACAGGTAGATATGGGGCAACACGCGCGCACACAGACGCTAAACCCCGCGCACACGGCGAAACACCACGCGCACAAAAACGTGCACAGAAGCACAACAATTTGCACAGAAGAAATTTTTTGCGCACTCGGCCTGTCAAAAATTAGAGGGACCATTGGGCATGGGCGAGCTCGGGGAGTTTCTTCCGCCTGCCTGTCACTGGCTTTGTGGATCTGGGACCTCTCTCCTAACTGGAGGAAGGAGACACCATCTGGGCTCTGGGCCTGGGCTGTGATGGCTTTGCATCGAAAACAGCGAGCGTGGGGCCGTTTGACACAGGGTGAAAATCTGCAGCCTGGAGGAGGCTTTCTGTACCTTCGGCTGGTTTTATTCCAGCCTCCCAGCCAATCACAGTACGCGTTCCTCTCAGCAAGGAGGGAAGGCAGGGAACCAGCCATGACTAGACCGGAGGCAGGGGGGAATTAGGTGCTGTATTAGAATATACTACCTGCCTCTAAGGTACCTGCTCGCCTCACAATCTGTGATGTCTTTCTCCTCCCAACGCCCCTTACAGAGCGGGAACCACAGCACAGGGCGGCTGAGGTCACCCAGGCAGCCTGGAGCAGATCAGATCCCCAGCCCACTGCACTAACCACTGCACCATCCTGCCTCCCTTGCAGCCTGGACTCGGCTCCCTCGGACTGGGAGCAGCTGTATGGGGAAGGTGCCTGTGCTGGGGGCGGGCGGGGGGGGGGGGAGGAGACGAGACCAGCATCCTGCTGTCAGGGCCTGATCATTCAGATCTTCTCTGACAAGGCCTGGCTCCTGCCCCCTAACCCAGCAGATGGGGCCAGGTTTCCAAAACGCTGCGGCACCCACTATCCAGCCGGGATTTTCAAAGCTCCCATTCGGGCCCCTTAGCAGCCAGACTCTGGCAATCCCCCCGGTGGGCGCGTTGCTTGGCATGATCTCTGGTGCCATCCCAGGCCAGGTCTCTCCCCCCACCAACACAAGCTCATTCCCAGTAGGAGAGAGAGGATCTCCTCCATCCCCACCGCCACCACGTCCATAGTTCACCTGGAGGGGACCCTGCTACGTCGCAGGCCTCTTTGGGGCTGGCACAGCCCGGGTCCCTTCTGCCCCAAGACGCTCCCCCCACGTCCCGGCTCCGTTTTAGCCACTCATCAGAAACAGGAGCTGGGTCATTTGTTCCATACCCGGAAGGACCGCCCCCGGCTCAGGCAGGAAAACCCGGTGGCCTGTTACTGCCTGGAGCTTGAAGCCAGGAAAGAGGAGTTTATCTGGAAAGGGAAGAGGGCAGCTGTCTGGAACAATAGCAAGGAAACCCTCCTAGTCCCCACCCCCCAATCTTGCCCCGGGGTAGCTACTTGCTGCAGAGCGAGCAGGTGAGTAGCAGGAAGGGTGGGGCTGGCCAGGGGAAATGGGGCATGAATGGCATGGCCAGAGGCACACTGGTCCGGCTGGCCCTGTGCTACCAGCATGCCCCTTCCTGTTGGGGGTGGGCCCAGGGTGCGCCACACAGCTCCCCTGCCCAGTGCCCCCTGGATCCATTATGCCCAGAGCTCCCCCACCACAAATGCACAGTGTTGTGCACACCACCACCCCTACCCAGCGCCCCCCCACCAACAGCCCCACCACAGCTGCCCAGCACCCCACACAGAACCCCCCACTCATTAGCTTCCCAATACACAGATTACCTCTCCCTCCCTCCCTGTGCCCTTCCCCACAGCCCCACCACCACAACTACACACTGCCCCACACAGACCCCCCCTGCCCAGTGCCCTGACACACACAGATCTCCCCCACTTCCCAGCACCCCCCCAGGGTCGCGGGTCAGGTCGGGTAGAGGGTGGGGGGCTCTCTGCCCGCTGCCGGCGCCTGCAAGTCCCCCCCACCCCCGGCAGCCCTAAGACCTCCTCGCTGCCTCTGTGCCTGGGGTTGCACTGTAGTCTCCTGCCAGCGGGCGGGCGCCGAGCGCTGCGCTGCCCCAGGAAGAAGAGGTGAGCGGCGCCGGCGGCAGCTTGCGGTCCTTCTCCACCAGACAGTCCCGATATCGGGACGATGTACGGTCGGGTCGCGGGACAAGTCCCCTAATACCGGGACGTCTGGTCACCCTAGGGAGAGATCCCTCATTTTCCCCTCTCGGTTTCCTTTTCTACCTCAGGTATTAACCTTTAATAATGTAACTTATTTTATGCAACAAACTTCGATGCCAACTCTGCCCACATATCTACACCAGCAACACCATCACAGGACCTAACCAGATCAGCTACATCATCACCGGTTCATTCACCTGCACATCCACCAATGTGATATATGCCATCATGTGCCAGCAATACCCCTCTGCTATGTACATTGGCCAAACTGGACAGTCACTACGTAAAAGGATCAATGGACACAAGTCAGATATCAGGAATGGCAATATACAAAAACCTGTAGGAGAACACTTCAACCTCCCTGGCCGCACAATAGCAGATGTAAAGGTAGCCATCTTACAGCAAAAAAACTTCAGGACCCGACTCCAAAGAGAAACTGCTGAGCTCCAGTTCATTTGCAAATTTGACTCAGGATTAAACAAAGCCTGTGAATGGCTAGCCAACTACAGAAGCAGTTTCTCCTCCCTTGGTGTTCAGTCACACCTCAACTGCTAGCAGAGGACCTCACCCTCCCTGATTGAACTAACCTCATTATCTCCAGATGATTCTTGCCTGCATGTTTATACCTGCCTCTGACAATTTCCATTACATGCGTCTGACGAAGGGGGCATTCACCAACGCTTATGCTCCAATACGTCTGTTAGTCTTAAGGTGCCACAGGACCCTCTGTTGCTTTTTACAGATCCAGCCGAACACGGCTACCCCTCTGATACTTATTTTGTTTAGGTCCTTGAGCAGTTATCACTATTAGTCCATAAATAACGTTACTCTTGTGTTGGTATCTTCCACCCTTATTCTGCAGCAATGCTCCCCCCATCTCCCCTATAACAGCTGAGCCCAGGGTAGCTACTCACCGCAGAGTGAGGATTTCAACACCGCCGCCTGGCTCAAGGATCTGCCTGCTGCTGGGCACGGAGCAGCGCCTCTCACCTGCCGGCTGCCTTCAGCAGGTGACTGGAACCTGGCCGCCGCAGGCTAATGAAGCAATCAGGGTGTTTGCCCCCTCCCACTCAGGAGGAGTTCATCTGGCAGCTGTGCAGCGGCTGCTCCAGCCAGCTCCTCGGGAAGGGGCTGGGGCAGAAGGCGCTGGCAAAGTGCTGCCAAGGTGTGCCTCACCCGTGCGTGCCACCGGGCAGAACCCCACTCAAGGGGGCCGCTCGAAGCTAACCCTAGGGCCTCAGAGCAAAGCGTGGTCAAATGGGAGGCAGTGAGCCCTGTGAGGCTCCGTGACCCCATCCCCTTGCAGTGCCTCAGTTTCCCCTCCCACCCTTTGTCTGGCTGGCCTCCTTAGATTGTAAGCTCTTCGGGGCAGGGACTCAGCATGTATTTGTACAGCGCCTGGCACCACCCTGCTCCCTTCTGGGGCCTCTAGGTGCTGAGGAAACTCCTCTACATTAGAAGAATCTGGCTTTTCGCAGGGAAACCCCTCAGCGAACGCCATAGCTTTGGAGCAAGCCAACGCTGCCAAGGGCAGGAGCAGCCCAGGTGACAAGGGCGAAGAGGGGTTGATCCTGCTCTCCCAACTTGTGCCCCGGCGAGGCTGGCACGTACTTTGCAGAGGGCAGACAGACAACCACGTCCAGCTGACACACAAACCACAGCACCTGGGCAAGAAGCAGGGAAGCCTACCGCAGGGCCAAGAGGAGCCTCTCCATTAGCTGGCAGCAGTAGTATGACTTTTATCCTTGCGGGTGACACAGAAACACCCCCCTTAGGCTCTAGCAGTGGGGCCTGCTTGCTATTTTGTTGCCAACACAACTGATAGGAAAGATGCTTTGTGAGTGTCGTTCCCCTGCACAAATTAACCCCAGAGGAGCCACGCAGCAGGAGGGCTGGGGCTGCCCCGCCCCCATGGCCCCTCCCCAGTGCCTCACTGGTTCTTCAGCACCTGCTCCCAATGGCAGGGACCTCCCGCTTGCCTGGGGAGCTTGTTCCCACGCCCTTGTGCTGTTCCTGCTCTCGCTGCTTTCGGAGTCAGGCAGGTGATTGGTGAGGGCTGGGGGAAGATAACAGGCCCCTGCCTCCCTGGAGCAGGAATGCTTGGAGATCCCCCGGCGAGAGGGGCCCGCCCTAGTGCCGGGAGCAGGTGGCGTGTGGCTGGGAGGTCTGTGCCCTGGAGGGCCCGGTTCCAGCCGGACCCAGCTCAGGTGGGGCGGGACTGACTGGTGCTGGGGGGAAGAGAAGCCCTTTGTCCAGCAATGAAACGGGGCCAGCCTTGGGCCGAATGGCACTGCGCTGTGTGGGGCGGCCAGGGGACACAACCTGAGCCTAGTTCCATGGGGGCCAGCTCTGCTGTCCCAGCCCTAGGGCGGGCGGCACCTGCCTTCCTGCTTACCCAGCCTGGGGCGGGCTGGCCCACGCAGGGCAGCCGAGTCAGGGTGGGGCAGCGTGGCCTGGGGGGTTGTTTATTGCGAGGCAGGCTGGTTCCCCTCCACTCCGCCTAGGTCAGGAGGTGCAAACCCAGCCGCTGCCCGCTGGGAACATCCCCGCTGGGCTGGGGCGGCTCCGGAGCAAAACGCCAGTGCCGAGCTCCGGGACGTTTTGCACTCGGATCCCAGGTCCAGGGCTCCTCGCCACCCTTGGGCACTTCCCCCGGTGACTCCCCGCCCACCAGCCAGGGAGGGGTACCATCAAGGAGGGTTCCCGTTGCTCCGCAGCGTCGGTTCCTCTCCCCGTGCAGCAGCTGGCAAAGCCAGGACACTGGGCCACCCCCCTCAGCCCCCCAGGACCCCTCCCACAGCTCCCACCTGCTGCCCGGCTGCTCAGAGAAAGCCCCAGGAGTTTCCTTTTACAACTGAACATCGCTGCTTTGATTCTTGGGGGGTGGGGGGCAGCCGAGGCTGGAAACCCCCCCTTGAGCTGCCGAACGCTGGACCCCTCACTGCCCCAGTCCCCTCTGCCTCCCTCCCCCATAGAATTTTCCATAAATGCCAAGGCAGGACAGGCAAAGTGGGGGGGGGGGGGGGAGGTTGAGGGATCAGGCCCTGCCCCTAGCTCCCCCACGGGAGGACGTGGGAGGATATGGACACACACGCGTTCCCCCCTCCCCTGGCTTGGCACGCCTACCTGCACCTCCACCCGCCTCCACTCAGCAGCAGCAGGAAGGGCCTTTCGCTAACTCAGGAAATGCTCTAGAGCCTGTGACCAGACCCCTTGGCCCGCTGGAGAGGAAGGGGAGGGTGGGCGGGGTGGGGGTGGGGGCTTTCTCTGAAGTTGGAGGAGTAACCTGGCCCTGCCCTTCAACCCCCTCCCCTTTGGAGTTAGGAGGTAGGGCCCTGACCCCGTCTACGTAACCCGGGTCGATGCCCAGGGCCGGCGGCTCGTTCCGGGGGGCCGAGAAGGTGCCAATGAGGCTGTGCTGGGGATTGACACCGAATGGGCAACGGCCTTTGCCCCGCACAGAGGCGGCCCCAACACGCTCCGCCAGCTGGCCCAAGTGGGACGTGTCCCGATCGCCTTCCACTGCACCCACGTCGCTTAGCCCAAGACAAGCCCTTGGGGTGCCCTCCTGCCAGCTCGCTTTGATCCCCGGGCAGCCGTGGGGTGCCCTGCCCCGGGGCCCACTGCCGTGCCGAACGTGTAACCTGACCCAATGACAGCCAGCGCCCTGGGCCATTCTCGGCTTGTGCCCCAGCCTAGAGTGGCTCCGCCAGGCAGCCCCAGCTGCCCACAGCCCGGAGGGCACTGGCGGGGCACCGTACAGCCGGCCAGAAGAGGGGCAGGATGTTTAATCCGTCAGCGACTGCCGGAGGCACCTGGCAGCGCTCGGCCCAGTTAGCTGCAGAGGAGGAGGTGGATGCAATGGTGCGGGCACTGCCCAGGGACCTGCGAGAGCCGGTTTGAGTTCCCAGCTCTGCCCCCACCCCCCTTGGGCACGTGGGATGGCTGCCGTGCACCAAAAGCCCAGCGTAGCAGGAGCTCAGAGGGCTCGGCCTGGAGCCCATCCCCTTATTGCTCGACTGCTTCTGGGCCAGGCCCAGCTGGGAATTCTCCCTCGCTTCAGCGTGGCTTCACCCAGCCAGGCCATGGCCTGACGCCCCTGTGATGGGCCTGGCGCTCACAGGCCTCGAGGCTTGGGGGGGGGGGGCGGCGGCGCTGGCACTGTCTGTTCCCCCTGCCACCACCCTGGGACCCTGGACACAGCACGTGTTGTGGGACAGACCCATCTTCTCCCCCCGGCCACCTCTAGCCCTCCCACCCTGCCCCCACAGGCACTGGGTAACAGCAGGATGGGTGCCCTGCAAAAACACTATCCCAGTTTGGGGGGGACCCCAAGGAAGTTAACCCCAGAGCTCCTGAGGGGCGCAGTTGCTTGCAAGCACTGCAGCTATGGGGCTGCCCCTCATGTCTATTGCACAGGGGCAGCGTGGGGCAGGGCTGATCATGGGTTTGATGTGGGGTGGGAGTTGGGGGCAGCATCTCAGCAACACACAGCAGGCCTGGGGGCCAGGCAGACAGATGGCTGGAGGCAGGCAGCGTGTGTGGGGTTGGGGGCAGCTGCTGGATGTAGGCTGACCGGAGACCCTGCACTTCCTGGCTGCACTCTATTCAGACCAGGGGGGGTGGCAAGGACCAGCTTGTGCTGCCAAGCCCCCCCGGATGGAGATTACACAGCCCCAGCAAGAAGGGGATCAGCCCAGCCCCCCGGCTGGGGGGGGAGAGATGCCTTGGAATGGCCTTACATAGCGGTGCAAGGAGCAGCCCAGGCCGGCCCCACGCACGGCTCCCCTAGGGGCCGTGGGGCTGGCCCAGCTCAGGTCCCATGGCCCCTTTGGGCCTGGCCCTCGGGGCTGAGCCTGCAGGTCGTGCCAGCGTCACACCCCAAAACCCCTCGTTTACCCAGGCTCCCAGCCAGCCCCTTGGGCACAGCAAGGCTGTGGGCTGAGCAGCCCCACAGTGAAAGGTCCCAGACCCCATTCCCCCCCAGCGGGCAGCCTGCACCCCCTGGCTGGGAAAGGCCCCATGTCCCCTTCCCCACCCCTCCTGGTGCCCCTCGGCCCTTGTCTAGCCCTGGCGTTAATCAGGAACAGCTCATGTGCTTTGAACTCCCCCCACCCGACTCCACATTAACGTCCAGGCGCAGACAAAGCCCCTCGGCTTGTCCCTGCTATGCAGCTGGCCTGGCCCAGCCCCGCGCGGCTCTCGCCCTCCGGGGGCGCAGTGAGCACACCACGAAGCAGACGGGCTCTCCCAGAGCAGGGGCAAGGCCTGGATCCTGGGATGGGCTGCAGCCAGCAGGGCCCCTTGCAAGCCTGTTTGCAAAATGTGAACTGGGGCCCCAGCTCAGCCAGCCCCCTCCTTCCTCCTGCAGCACCTCCAGGGGCTGGGGATCCAGGCTGTGGGGTCAGGGACGCCTGCCCAGTGCCAGGAAACAGACCAGGGGGCATCTCCTATCGGGGGGGGTGGAGGCTGTGTGCCAGGTAGGGTCCCCCCTCCAGCAGAACCATCTCCCTCCAGCCAGGGCCTGGCCCAGAGCACAGCCTGTAGGTCAGAGGCAAACATGAGCCCGGAGCCGGCACTGGGAGAAGACGGGCAGGACCAGGGCTGGGGGCGTTGGCGCGGGAGGGAGGCGAGCACTGCGGGGAGAGTAAAGTAACACCTGCCAATCCGCCAACATGGCCCCAAGTCACTCCCACTGCTGCTGCCGGGCTGAGAGAGGAGGGGGACCAGGGCCCCAAGGGGGAGGCTCTTTGGGGGGATGCTAGAGGCAGCCCTGCTCCCTGGAACAAGCTGGGAGTCTCCCTGTCAAAGGGGGAAGCAATTCCCCTGACTTCCTCCAAGCACCCGCTGCGCTTCTCATCACCCAGCCCCAAGAGCTGGGGCCGGGCCAGACTGGCCTGTGCTGCCCCTCACTGCGCAGCCTCGTGCCCCATAAGGCTGGCAGCAGGTTCATGGCAGGCTGGCAGGGCGATGGCGAAAATGGGCAGCGGAAGCAGACAGGTCGTTTTATTAGAAAATAAAGTGTTTATTAAAAGGGTGACGACCCCCCCCAGCTTCCCCTCCTCCCCCCACCCCCGTACAGCAGCTGGGAGAGTGGACGGCTCTGTTCCATCGCCAGGGGGCGACCCGGGGACAGCACGGAGACCCCAGCTTGGCCAGTGGGGGGCAGGGGAGGAGTTAGGCAAACAGGGAGCAGGGCTGTTCTCTGTCCAGTGCAACTCAGCCGCTCGTCCCGTCCAGGGGCTGGACCCCAGCCCAGCACCATCGCTCCTCTCACGGGCCAGGGGCCGGACCCCCACTCCCCTCCCCCCAGATCTGACTTTGTTCCAGTGTTTAAAAATCCAACAGCAGAGAAACCCCCGGGGGCAACAAGAGGCTGAACAAGCCAACGGCCACTGGGGCTTTAAAACCAGCCATGAATAGGGGGACGAGGGCAGCCAGTCAGGAGCCAGCCAGATAAATGCCTAGGAGGAAACACAACCATGAGAGGTGGAGACAGACACCAGGGACTCCCGGAACAGGCCCCCCACCTACCCAGACTCCTCCACTCCTCTGTGCTCAGATCGTATCCCCCTCCCTGGGATCCCTTTCTTATTACGGCTTGATACCGATCCCACCCCAAATCAGGCTGCATCGTGCCAGGCACCGTAGAGAGACACGCCCTGGCTCCAAAAAGAGCTTCCACTCTAAACAAAGGATGAGAGGGGAAACTGAGGCACAGCAATGGACAGGAGGGGGAGGAGTTCTCCACATGCAAGCAGGGGGAAGCGTCCTCTCCCCCCCACCACGGACGTGCCCAGCCGCTGCGGTTACCTGTGGCGAATCTCTTCTTCACCAGCGACATCCTGTACCCGTTGCCCGCCAGCTCCACCTCCACGCCCGACAGGGTGCTGCCTTCGCTGGTGAACTGGGCCGCCACGGGGCTGGGTTTGCTGGGGCCGTAGAGGGGCTCCCAGCTGGCAGAGAGGCGGCCGCAGCCTGGGGACCGAGGCCGAGAGATGGGGCTCAGGATCTCACTGGGGGTTCAGACCCTGCCCACCCGGGGGGAGAACAGACTCCAGAGCACCGAGCCGGGGGGAGGGGCTGACACACCCTGGGGTTGGGGTGGCAAGAGGGTCAGCTGCTAAGAGCCACCGGCCACCCTTGCCCTTAGCTCGCCCAGCAAACCCTGTTCAGAACCAGGAGCTGGCGCCTGGCCAGCAGGAGGCGCCGTACCCCACTACCAGCCCCCCCAGGAGCCGCTATGGCCTGTGGGTGTCAGGGCCAAGGGCCTTGGGTTTGCAGCTGACGCTCAGCCCCCAGCAGCCCCAGCGTTGGAGGGAAGGTGGCTCAGACCCCGCCCCCCCGACACAACTGCCCCCCCAACCCGGCGGGGAGCGCCGAGAGCTCTCACCGCCACGATCTGGGGCCCCAGGAACGTCCAGCAGCCTCCACAACAACCGCTTCTCCTCCAGGTTCCTGCGGGGCGAGAGAGACGGGGGACGTCATCCTGCCGGGCGAGGGCTGGGGGCGCACACAGCCCCAGCCATTACCTGATCTCCCCTGCCCCCCCAGGGTCCCCCA